ATTCACGTTTTTTCATCTGCAATAAAATGTCAATAAAAATTATAATAAAATGATACTCCAAGATTGGTTGTAATTCATTTTATTATAATTTTTATTCACGTTTCGACATCTGCAATAAAATGTCAATAAAAATTATAATAAAATGAATTACAACCAATCTTGGAGTATCATTTAGAAAGAGCATGAGATGAGCTTCCGAATAGTATATAACACTTCATTTCTATTGCAAGTAACATAATAGATGAAATCCTCTCGTACTGAGTTACTCTGCCCTGAGTCGCCAACATCTTACCCTTTTTGGTGGCTCGAGAGTTATTAAGGAGGGTGTGTCATACTAACTTCGCCCACCAGTTGGCGGCTCTACCCAGAGACAAACTGCGTTGAATTCATGGCGTGCTGTATTGGTCGTTTTTCTCTTTTTTCGCCCTTTGCCTCCGTTTCTCATTTACGCTAACAATGCCCTTAGTTTTCACTTTTCGTCCAGTGCTCGGAACGAGTTTCAAGAAGAGGATTCAGGGCCTTTATTAACGGATCCGAACTTTTTCATTGAGAAGTCAGCTAGCATCTACAAATCCAAGTTGACCCATTATCAGCATTTGGAATCGCGGAATGTAAACCGTATGGAAACTGTATTCTTTTAAGATGTAGCTATTTCTTTCAAGATCCTCCCTATATTGGAACAAAACCAGAAGTCTGACGATCTTGAGAAACGAGTGGGAGTAGCGATAGCCTTACACGAAATAATGGACAACATCACAAAGGTACGGGACCCGTCAACTCTTTTTTTCAGTTCTTTTTAGGTTTGAATTCTTACATTTTGCACAGCTTAAATAGGTGAAGTCAGCTTCGCTGGCTTGTTTACGTATGAAGTTTTGGAGTCTTTAGTCCCGATGTGGGTTAATTCAGGATGTTCTCAGTCATTACCTGGAGAATTTGGTGACTCCTGTTCGAAACGGCATTTGTGACTCTTCACCTGTCGTCAGATCAGCAGCTGCTGACACTTTCTCGGTTCTTTACCAGGTTCGTGAGTGAGCTATTGTGAAAAAAGGCGCTGTTCGGCTTGGAGGGCCATTTTGCACATTCGTTTGTTCCTTTTGCTAGTTTATGTAAAACCAAAAGATGTAGCTCTGCTCAGACCCGTACCTTCTTGTAAAG